AAAGTCTTAGCAACAGCCTGGGCTCTTTGGGAATTCCCGTGGGACTCCTTTGGCCAACAACCCAATTAGATGTACCCCAATACCAGTAGTGAGTGCTTCATTTGGCATCAAAAGATGGCTAGTTAGGACTCTGTCTTCCCCATTACTTGGTGATTTCATTTAGATCGCCTTCATTTATGAATATGTTTTAGGAAGTTTTGACCACATTGGGTTTCTTTTCTACCCTGCAAATGGCCCTTAGTCTTAGCTGCCCCTCCTGTGTTCACTCCCTCATCAGCATCTCCCTAGTACCTCCCCACTTTTTCCTCCTGCTTCAGTCCTCCCCCCATCCATCCATCAATATATATTCAATTCCCCTTTCCTAACAAGATCTAGCTGTACCTTCTACTCCCTTACTCTATATCTAACCTCTGTGGTTCTATGGATTGTAATTTGGTTTTCATTGACTTAACAGCTTACTATCCACATATAAATGAATACATACCATATTTGTCTTTCTGGGGCTGGTGTGCGTCTCCTTCTCTCTTTCCTTCTTTGTAACTTATTTATTCTTGTTTTAATGCAGAAATCCACTCAGTATCATTGGCACAATTTCTAACAACTTCCTGTTTTCTTTCAGACCGTATCTGAACTGAATATTTGACCAAATCCTTGCGTTAGTCAAGAGTCAATATTCAAAGCCCTATGAGTTCATAGAGTTTTTCATGTCTCTCACAGTAAAAATTGGTATTTAGCATTCAATATCTGACCAATGGGGTTATTGAATCTCAAGAAAATTTTTGTATTTTAACTTCCCAAGAGAGATATTAAATTTATTTGAAAAAATCATGATATGGTATTGATACTCTCAATTCCAATTTAATGCTAATATTTTGTCCAGCTTTCTTCCTTTAATATTTCTTTGATATTAATAAATGATTTCATATAATTTTATACCTTTCTATTCTGTTTATAGGTTGAATGTCACCCTTACCTCAACCAGAGCAAGCTGCTGGATTACTGCAGGATGAATGACATCATTCTGGTTGCCTATGGTGCTCTGGGAACTCAGAGATATAAAAATTGGTAATAAGAACAGGAGAAGTTATCTCTAAGTCACAACTCTTCATTCTACAATATCCAGGTTTCTGGAATTTACTCTCAGTCAAGGTGGGGTTGTATTTCAGAAAGGCTCCAGAGAATGATCAACTACTAGTCCATTGACTACATTTGAGAATTCCTGGACCCTTGTGGCCATTTTCATCCATGTTCAACCCTAGCAACATATTTCTGGAAACTGTCTTTCCTTCTAGTACTAATGAGGATACCCCAGTTCTCTTGGAAGATCCAGTTCTTTGTGCCATGGCAAAGAAGTACAAACGGACTCCTGCCCTGATTGCCCTTCGCTACCAGCTGCAGCGTGGGATTGTGGTCCTGGCCAAGAGTTTCAATGAGGATCATATCAGAGAGAACATGCAGGTGACAGGTCACTAAAGCTGTGTCCTTCATGAGTCTCACAGCTTTAAGTTTTAATTTTAGAATTTTCAAGTGTACAAAAAGCTTAATAAATTAAGCAGTACCTCTCTTATCTAAATTTTTCAGCATTTAAATTGTTGGTATTTTATTATTTCTCTATAACACTCTTTTAGAGTAACACCAATCAGTTATAAACCCATGTGTTAATACTGTAACAGTTAGTGATCATCTTTTTTTAAAAATGATAAAACTGTTTGGAATTATATATAATGAGTCATCTTCCAGTCACTTTCTGAGTCCTTTGACCAGGATTCATTAATAATTGGGCAATTCCTTCTTTAAGTAATATTGAAAACGACTTTTCCCCCTCATCCTAAGTTTTCATGGCTAGGATACAGAAACACAACTGTATCTATGATAATTACTGAAGTATATTTTCAAAACTGTCTCTGCACGTCGTTAACTCTTCCACATACATAACATTATCTCTTTTGAATCCTGTCAGCTCTTTCTTCTCCAGTTTCCTTTGAAATTTTGGTCTGTAGATTTACACATTATATGTGCTGATATACTTTCCATTTAATTTTTAAATCTGGATTTCAACGTTTTGCTTGATGACTTTAAAAACTGGGGGGACCTCCTCAGATGTTTTAAGTATTGTCTGTTGTTTCAGACTGACAAACGTTCTCCATCAATATATATTTAAAATAGAACTTCTTCTTCTGTAACAGGTTTTTGATTTCCAGTTAGCTTCAGAGCATATGAAAATTCTAGATGGCTTGGACAGAAATTTACGGTATTTTCCTGCTGATATGTAAGTAGCTTTCATAGCCTTTGTAATTTTGATTGTTCTCTCCTTAAGGAGAGTATATTAATAGCATGTCTGTCAGAAGTTACCTTAGCATGAGGAAGTCAAAGAACACTTAGAGTCAGACAAGGCACAGATTTCTAGAATTCTCTTTCTAGACTCAGTCATAGTTTTACTCTAGGACACAACAATAGAAAAGTGGATGCATATGCAGGGTCACCTTGATCTGACATGCCTTCCCTTCTTGTATCAACATCATGGAATGTGCTGGGAGAGCCCGTATCATTGCTGACTCTATATCGTCCCTGCAGATCTTTTGATTCTATGTGTATCCTGGGTATTTTTCAGTGTCACATGTTCAAATATTGTAATGATCAATTTCACAGCATCATCTCTAAAATCCAGTTTCTTATCAGACCAAAGGCAATTCCATCATCTCTGTGTCACAGGTCAGCAGCTCTTACCCCTCTCCACATGGAATTGGCTTTAATAATACAAACCTCTTATTTCCTCTGCATTGTATGTGTGTTCAGGACTTAGACAAACACTTTCTCAAGAATGTCTGGATTGTTGTGGTAAATAAAACACTATTTATACTCAACGGACAATCATTACTCTCCTTCATGCTACCTATAACTCTATATAATTTACAAAACAATGTATAATATAAAGAGATTAATCAAGTAATATTTTGCTTAACCTCTTTTATTATATTATTATGATTATATTATTTTACATTATTTTTACATTCTATAACCTCTTATTCAAAGAGATGGAAATACTGGCAAGCAATCAGTGATTTTTGTTCCTATTAAAATGATAAATCATTTTATCACTTTCATGCTGCTATAGAGTAAATGCCTTGGACATGGAACTTTAGTCTTATAAATGGCATTCCTTCTAGTTCTGAATCTAACAAAGCATAGCCTGTACAATTATCAGCTAATGAATAATTGATGGTTGAATAAAACTGACAATAAGCTGCTATCAATTACTTTATCACTTCAGAGTAGTTTTTAACTGTCTATTACTTTCTAACTTGGTGTGTATGTGTTCTCACACAAACCCTGCATATGAAGGTTGGAGGTCAACTTGCAGCCATTGATCCTGTCCTCCTACCATGTGGGTCCCAAGTATCTAACTTAGGTCACCTGGGATGGCAGCAAACACTTTTAGCTGCTGAGCCATCTCACTGCCCCCCCCCAAATATTCATTATTATCAAATACATAACTTGACTTGCCCAATTTAAAATAAGACAAAATCAGTTTCTGCTTTATTGAGAATTTGAAGTATTAAAGAAATGGTTTTTTTTTCTTTATAGAATGGTGTATATATTTCAACGACTAACTTTGGGTTCTCTATGTGTTAAGTTCCAAGGAATATGTGTGAACAGTTCCTTTTTTCTTCCTCAGTTCTATTATGAAATACTGTTTGTAAAAGTAAGAACACATGTCATATGAAATATCACAAAAAAAAGTTTTCAACTTTCACCTCAGTGGTCATCTTTGTTGAAATTGAAAACTAGAAATTGTCATCGGGCACATTGTTCACTGTTTTCTCTTTCATTGTTCTCTCTCATTGCAGATTCAAGGCTCATCCCAACTTTCCATTCTGTGATGAGTATTAACATGGAGGCCTTTGCCATGGGTTCTGTTAGAAGCTCTTGTGTGTGATACTGGACTCTCATATGCTGAAGCTGGATACATAACCTTCAATCCATGCTGCTTAGAAACTCACCCTCAGTTTGAGCTATGAGTATATGTCAGGTAGCAAAAGCACTTAATTTTAGTTCTTCAAATAAATAAAAATAATTTGCTTCAGCCTCACCTACTTCTGTGTGAATATTGTGTATATATATACCTTGAATGCTTTACTTCTTCCTGCCCCATAAAAACCTCAAACTGATTTATCTGGATATTCATGAGCAGTGTTTAAGAGATAACAGCTTTTTTATTGACATATCTAGAGTAGGTATAGTTAGAGTGTTCATTCTTTTGGGAAGTAGCAATTAGAAGAGATTGATCAATAAGTGTTTATCCTGACCTTCAAACAACAAGAAAATGTATCACATGTGGTCTGGAAGGCAAGATACACATGAGAAAAGCAGTCTCAGGAACTCAAAGATTAGAACTACAAGAAGCTGGAGAATGTATTCTCCGTAGAAGGCTTTGGAGGGAGCCAAGAGGGGAGTCAGTCTTCAAGGGTCTTGAGTTCCATAGTATATAATCAGATCCACTGTATCACAGGATGAAATTTGTAGATGAGAGATGGAATTCCAACTAAATTCTGCTGTGTCCTGATTCCAACCCATATAAAGGCAACATACAAGGGTTCCCTTCTGTAGAAACAAGCAATTCCCTTGTTTTTTCCAAAATACTCTAAGAGACCTGTATTTTAAAATTTCTTATGTATAAATGCTAATGATCTATTGGTATAACCTGTTATACCAAATATATATATATGTAGTATATATATAAAGCATATATATATATATATATATATACACATATCTTTATTAAAGGTCCTACCTGCAGGTGCCAGTGGATTTTCTCATTCTATTTGTATTACATAATCTCTAGTCATACAATGCCAGAAGATTATATAATGTCATAGCATATATTTTATCAGAAATTTAATTTATATTATCTGAGTCAGAGTCCCTCAGATATAAACAAGCCTGCCATGCCTTGCCGGTAATCTGAGCCGATTACTCCTCGTCAAAATATCCAGTGATGACTGTGATCTTTTATACTGGTTAATGTTTTCTAAGATACTCTGGAACATAAACACATCTAAGCTCTGGATAATTGAACTATAACATTGGTCACTTCTGGTGCCATTTTCTAGCCAAAGTCATCATTGATATACATGTCTTTTGTAATGAAACTCCACACTGGTGGCTTTCTCAGAGAAGTGATATACTCCACGACTAGATGCATTATTGTAAATGGTGTGCCACGGACCGTCCCTCTGGGAGACTGCTATCCACGGGAGAACAGGGATGAAGGCTATAGGATAGTCAGGATACAACGCAAGGGAATGACAGACAGACACACTGTGTAGTGAGAATCTGCTGCAATTTTACTTCTGCAAAGCTCCAGTTTATGTACAAAATAGATCAAAGAACTTGGCAGGTTCATTACATCACCCCACTCAGGGTTCCAGACATAAATCAAGGCTAAGCATAATCAAAAATAGAGCTCCCTCTACGTGCTCCCCCCTACGTGCTCAAGATGTTGGCAAGGACTTTCAGTTTTGTTTTGTCTCGCACCATTAACCACATTCTACCGTGGGGGACTAGTTCTCAGGGTCCTGGGTCTAGCTTTTTATCTATATAATTTTTTTATTCTTTGCTCCATATCCCCTAATAATTTTCTCGTTTCCTCATGATAGTTCTTATACCAATACATTAAAGCTGGTCTCATGTTTTCAATAATTTCCTTTCTTTCCTTCTTACAATAAAGACACCAGGGCTTCCGGGATCTAGCTAATTTTTCCATAAAGGGGAATTTTCTCTAACTCTCCTTTTCTCTCTAAATCTGATTCACTATGACGATTCCCTCGTAACATTTCAACTTTAGCCGTTTCTGTTTCATAATTAATAAAGTTTCCCAGGCTCATGTGGCGTGGGGCATACTTTATTTCCTCAAGGACTGCTTTAATGAACGGTGGAGCCGAGCCAAGGACGTACTTTGATTTCTTGGTACGTGGTCAGCTATAAACAGGAAAGATAAGAAATACAGAGAAAGATCATGCAGGGTGCCAGGAGGGCTCGCTCTCAAGGCCATCTCCAGATATGAGATTTGCCTATGGCATCAGGTCCTATCTCGACCGCTGATTGCCAGGGGACCACCTGGGGCTTCGCTCCAGGAAGCTCTAACCCCAATCCTTCAGCAGGCAAAAGCCAGCGCAGAGGCATTTTGTCACTACACGGCAGTCACTGCTGTGGACGTGGCAATGGTGAACCAACTTATATTTTCCCACTGTATCACACATCAGATGCCAATGATATGGTCAGACTATCATTGGAGGATTCTTGCCCAGTCTACATGGCTTGCCTATGTGATGTGTGCTATGAATATGTTTTATTATCATTGGTTAGTAAAGAAGCCTTTTTGTCCTATGGCAGGGCAGAATATAGCAAGGCTGAAAGAGATACATGTATAGAGAGATTAGGTATATCAAGGAGACGCCATGTAGCTGCCAAAGAGTAACATGCCAGTACCAGCAAGCCACATCCCACTGGCAATATACATATTAATAGAAATGGTTTAATTTAAGATGTAAGGGCTAGCTAGAAATATGCATAAGCTATTGGCCAAACAGTCTTGTAGTTAATATAGTTTTTGTGTGAGTATTTAGGTCTGGGCAGCTGGGAACAAATGAGCAGTCTTCACTTACACGTATGAGGACTCAATAATGAAGTGCTTGCTAAATCTATATTGGTACTGTATGCTGTAGATATTATAAACTCTCATTTCATCCCCTGAGCTTTATAAGTCTGTGTCTCCAAATAAGTTATGCAATAGAATTTTAACCTGCTTGATCACCTTCAAGAAGAATGTTTAATTTGAAGACATACCATCTCTTTAAGTAAATATTTATAATGTAGATGATAATCAAGCAAATAATCCCATAAATGAATCACCCTCCTAGCTATAGCTTTGGCCCTACAAACTTCTAAGTTTCAAGGACATTTACCAGTCATCATATCTTCCCTTATAAGTTTTCAAGAAATGCTCTTTAAAGGTCTCATGTTCACAAAGATATTATCTCTATGTAACACACTCATTTCCTCGCACTCCCATTTTGAAAAGTCATTCTGTCTTCTACAGAATGGATTATATAATTGAGGACAGATGATATCCCAAGTCCCAATGTCAACACCCTGTTTAAAAGGAACCCCAATAGATCTTTATGGGACCCCTGCAAACATGTAACTCTACTTTGCTAGTCCTAGTATCTTTGCAAGTTAATAAGCTTGAAGCTCCACCTCCTCTGAGTCATTGAAAGAAATTAAAATAATTGAATCTAAGATAGTACCAGATGATCAAACAGCTAGTAATATTTCTCTAATGTCTTCTAGTAAATGCCAATCAAATCAAGGAATGATCAGGGAAGAAATTCTAACACTTTTTATGATGCCCACCCCCAACTACACTGAGTAAATCCAGATGAGAAATCTGAAATAGAGATATGTAGAGAGAGTAGGTAAAGTCAAGGAGATGCCATGTGGTTGCTGAAGGAGAAAGATGCCCCCGGAATCTTCCTAGTAGGTCATAGCCTCGTGGTGATACACAGATTAATCGAAATGGATTAATTCAAGATGTAAGAGCTAGCTAGAAATATGCCTGAGTCATTGCTCAAACAGTGTTGTAATTAATATAGTTTCTGTGTTATTGTTTGGGTATGGACAGGCAGGAAAAAAACAAGCAGTCTGATTACAAAATGCCATCCCCTGACTGTGGCATGTATTCATATAAGACCTAAAAAAGCTTTTTTTTTTTTTTTAAAAAAAAAGAAGGCTTCTAGATTCACAAAAATGGGAGCCAAATGCAGCTTCTCTGTAGCTGCATGTTTTCAGATAGGTTCTGTTTGCTATAGACAAGGAGAGGCATGGTTCATTTAAGAGAAATCTTCCTGACTCAGAGCTAGCAGCAAAAACTGTGCAAGTCCTTTAAGAGCCTGCTTTCTGGTTTGTGTTAGCAGCAGGAACTCTGGCTTGTTCAGGAGGCCCTGCACTTAAATGGGATTTGTGAGCAGTGTGGTACTAGTTGCTTAATAGTGACACAGACCCTCTGTGTCCCTGAAACTGGGGTGGTGAGCGTGGCTTGCAGAGGTGGTGAACTTAACTTTGCCATGTTGATTGAACTGGGTGGAGTCAACAGGCGGGGCTGCAGAGTTGGTCCTAGCCATGCCTACTTAGTATTTTTTTTAAAGTTAGTCCTGCTTAGAAAATGTTTACACATTTGCAATAAAGACAGATTCTGACAAAAATAAACCTCTGAATGGGTCACAGTGTGTTTAAAATGTATATAGACTGGGAGAGAGAGGGAAAAGAATATAGACAGTTATAAAAAGAAGTAAATGGTTTTAAAAAAATAAAGCAAAGTCTTTAAAGAGACAGTAAATTAATATAAATGAGTACCAACAGTCATAGATTAAAGGAGTAAAGAAAAATAAGTCACATAAAGATGGAATATACATAGAGAGTCTGAATTATGTGTATTGTGTTTTCCTTAATCTATTTGACTGCAGAGAGAGATTTGATTCTGGGGGCTGCTAAGTTAAATAAACATAAAGGTATCTTGACTTCAAAATTCGGGTCTAAGGATATGTTGCTTTGGAAAAGAGGTTCAGATTTTGTTTCCACAGAATTTGAGAACCTGTGGATTCCTTCCAGGCTAATATGCTTTGATGAACAAGATCCACTGGAAGGTCTCCATGAACTTTAAAAATAGTTTGCCCAATGAACAGCAGGAAGCAGTTTGGATAAAGCTATGCCCAAATGCTCAAAATGATTGTTTGTAAATGTTTATTTTATTTTAAAGTGAGATAAGATATAGAGATGAATATATTTTATTGGTATGGAATTTGGTCTTCTGATACAAATTTAAAGTCAATTTTGTTACACTGTATATGTATTTCTGCTCTTGTTCAAGGTATTGTGTTTGTGCAGCTATTTTAAAAATATAATGTATATGCCAAGATATTTTATGACATTGTCTTATTTGATGTTCTAACACCTTTGAAAAAATTTCACTATGTAACTTACATATTCACAAACTTATAGGACTGGATTTTGTTAACCATATACTATCAACAG